TTTATATAAAAATCAAATTGGAATATTTTATACAAACACACCTATTTGGGGAGTGTGATTAAAATATATAATATAATATATTATATATTATATATATATATATAATACACTTATTTAAAAAGTATGATTAAAATAGTAATGTATATATAATCACACTTTAATTAAGAATGTGTGATTAAAAAAAATATATATAATCACACTAATTTAAAAAGTGTGATTAAAAAGTAGTAATGTATAATAAATCACATTTAATTAGAAGGTGTGATTAAAAAATATATAAATAATCACACTTTAATTAGAATGTGTAATTAAAAAAAAAAATATATATATATATATATATAATCACACTCATTTAAAAAGTGTGATTAAAAAGTAGTAGGTATATATATATCACATTTAATTAGAAGGTGTGATTAAAAATATATAAATAATCACACTTTAATTAGAATGTGTGATTAAAAAATATTTATATATAAATATATATATATATAATCACACTTATTTATAAAGTGTGATTAAAAAGTAGTAATGTATATATAATCACACTTTAATTAGAAGAATGTGATAAAATATATATATATATATATATATAATATATATATATATTATAATCACACTTAATTGAAAAGTGAATATACAATTCCCAATTTTTATTTTTATTTAAAAAAAAAGCCCCAACACCAAAACACAAAAAAAAAAAAAATTCAAAATACATTTAACTCTTTGGCTACTTCTAATTAAAAGGAAAGTAGAAGGTTAGGGTTCATCACAAGGGACAAGAGAGAGATAGATGGAGTGCGTTTAATACTGTTGGGGGTAGAGTGTTTCTTACAGTCACCGTTTTCGGAGGCCTCTCTCTTATCACCCCAAACCGACATCGCCTCGAAAAACCCTCCGTCCGCGATGTCGGCTTCGTCGCCGACAAGAAGCTTCTAGTCTTCGATGCCGTCTCCTTCAGCTTCTTCCTCTTCTCCTCTTTAGTCACTGAGAGCCTCAAGCTCGCCATCAATCTCTTGAACATACAACAACAAGAGTCTTTAGAGACAAAAACTAATAATGAAAATAAATTTTGTCACAAAAGACGTACTTTTTAATGAAGAAAATAATCTTTCCTCTCTAAATTAAATATTGTTAGAAGGTAATTTAATTAATCTTAAACTTTAAATAAATTTACTATGAAAGTCCACAAGGCTAATAATAATAATAATAATAATAATAATAATAAAACAAGGAGAGTAATTATTTTAGGGTTAATAATATAAATACATAAATAAATAAAAACCTAAGGTCTTATTAACACAGCCGCCGCAGCAGTGAGAATGAGGGAGAAGGAGAAGAACAGCCGCAGTCCAAGTCTTGGACTTAGGTTTCGTAGCTTTTGCTCCAGGCCACCATTATCACAGGTAAGAAAACTTCCATTTCTCTCTCTATTTTTCTGAAATCTGGTTCTTCTCTGATCTGATGAGGGAAGTAGTTTTGAATTCAGTTCTGAAATGGTTTGATTTTTAAATTTCTTCTATGATTGAAATGGGTTTCTGAAATGATCTTTATTTTCTGAAAGGGTTTTCGGAATGGTTTCTATCATTGCACCGTTTCAAAAATGGTTTGTCATCTGTATTTGCTGATTTTATTTTCTGAAAGGGGTTTCGAAATGATCTTTATTTGCTGCTTTTGGATTGTTTTTTCTCTCATCTGTATAGTTTCTCTGTGTATAGCAAAGATGAATCATGCTATATACTTTTTGTGTCTGCAAGGTGCTGGACAAAATGTCACAATGGCATTGCAAAGATGAGATTTGTCATCTCAGTTCTGTTATTTCTTGTGTTCATTTTATTTGGAGGTAAACACACCTTGGTACTTTTTCAAAAGCTTCAGTTTTGATTTGTATATATGTGTTTTGGTTGATTCTGATTTTTTTGTTTTCAAAAATTATAGTTGCGTATGATTCATTAGCTTCAATTGTGGCTATACATGTTGTTAAGAGTCATTTTGTTATTTTTATTACTATATGGTTTACTGGAATGGAATTTTAAGTGGTTTTCATTGATCAAAATTTTAATAAACAACAAAGAGTCTTAGTAATTAGTTTTTGCTGTTAAAGATTTTGTATAACATAAATTTCTGCTGAACAATGCATGTAGTTTAAGGATGTAATGCAAAGTGCTGCTCTGTTTTTGTCTTTTCTTTTTTTCTTTTTCCCTTTAAATTAAAGAAAGTACATGGTTGTTGAAGTTGGGGAGAGTTTTAATTTTGTTGTTTATTTTATATGGAAGAAAGGCCTTTCTGGTTATATTTTTCTTCTAATCTCAGTTGTGTATAAATTTTCTGCAAAGTAGAATGAATATTATGTCATGCTAAGATATTATTCATTTTATTGTGTTGTCCATGTCAGAAAGCTTTTTATGTGTTCTCTAATAAGTAATGTTTCATTATAGTTGGCTTACTGACTCAAGTATTTATGAGTAATGAATCTTCCCAAACCCACCTATGATAGACATTTTGTACTTCGGTATCTTCTAGCATTAGTGGGAGCATTCAGAATTTGTGATCATGGTTCTTGAGGTATACAATTATCCATGTTATCTTTTTGCCTTTCCTAACTTAGGAATTGTTTGGTTGCCTTTTTTAATTACTTTTTGTCTATTTAAGCAAAAAAAAATTAGATCATTTTGCTTGTTTGCAGTTCCTTTTGTACTCTATTCAACCAAACAAGTTTTATTAATTGCTCCTACACAAATTAAGAGGTACTTCTATATTCTTCTAATTGCATGAACCGATTGATTTGATTTGGTGGGTCCACTTTGAATTTGAGCATTGTTTATTTATTTGCATTTTCCTATTTGATCCCATTATTGATGGTAGAGAACTACAGATCTCATTTGACAATTTTCCATATTATTTATGGTAGAAGCCTTCCACACAACTGTAATCTTTCATGTATAGTCATTTTATGTACTTATTCTATGTTCTAACATCCACTACAGATCTCTTATCATAATTCAGCTTTTGAGTATGTTTTCATTTCTTTCAGTGACAGGACAAAATATTATCTGTTGGCATCCTTTGTTCTACACATAAAGCATAGTGAGTCCAAGGATTCCGCTGTAAGCCCAAGAATTTTGCTGTCTGGTCCTGCAGGTGAAAAAGACAATCTCCTTGTCCTAAAACATTTTACGATCTCGTTACTCAAAATAAGTTTGAGGCCTCGTTTGGGAACCCTCCCTTTTAGCCAAAAAGCCAACAACCCATACCAAAAAGTCAAAGATTCTCTTTTCTCTCTACTTTGTGCACATCTTTTCGTAAAAAGCCAAAAAGTCATCCCAAACATACTAGTTTTTTTTAGTTCAGAGTGGAGAGGTTTTTGAGTGATTTTTACCCAAATTTAAATTTGATATAGGTTTCAGTCAAGGGTTGGAGATGCCATTATATCACTGTGTATTCTATATTTAATTTTCATTTTGAGACTAAATAGTTATTGTTTGTCTTTTATTTGTAAATATTTCAGATTCATTGTGATATGACAGCTCATTTATCTCACTATTTTGTATATACGGGCCATAATTTGTATCTAATAGGAAATCAACTAAGGAGTGACTGCAGTGATGTCCCAATCATACAAGCATTGCAGAGAGGTGTTAGAGTATTTGAATTGGATATCTGGCCGAATTCCACAAAAGATAATGTCAATGTTCTTCATGGAAGGTAATGGTGCTAATTTGCAAATGGCAGCCAATTCTAATATGGGAATTTTGAACCCCCCAAGTTATACTTTAGGATTATATCTCTATGTGACTTTGTATATGATGGTATCTAGAACATTTTTTACAAATGTGCAATTACTAGTATGTGTATGCCCAAGGAGTTGAGTTGTTTTTCTTCTTTCTAAGGAAACTCTGGCCAACCTCCCAAGCATTTAGAAGTTTCTAGGAGCTCAAATGGAGAGATGATGAAGAATGGTCGCTGATATCTGAAATGTACTCAAGGTATTTGTACAATTAACATTCAATTGCATTTCTTTTGTAGAACATTAAATATTTGAGATTGGTAAAGCCTCTTAAACTAAGTTGTTGGTTAAAGTAAAATTTCTGTTGAACTTGCAATTTATGTGGGTAAAGTGACATTTTATTTTTACACGCTTCATGTCATACTAGAGGTATTTAATGTTAAGATATTTGAAGGGGTGTGACCAGTCGGACTTTATCTTTTGTGAGACTAGAACAAATAGTTAGTTTATTCATATGCTTCTAACAGTTTCTAAATTAGTTTGTGTTTTTATTTTTCAGGTTAGAAATTTCTTGGAGAGATGCAAAATATGGTCAAAGAATTCAAGAACTTAATTTTTCAAGTTTTTTCATTTTTTAATATATGTAAGCACAGTGTAAAACTTTTTATTTAATTCCTCTGTATATACTTTTGAACATATTTAACTTTCATTTATGAAATATATGACGTTATTCCATTTAATATGTGATTGTGATTCAAAATATAGTATATAGTGTGTATTACATTCTTGAAATGCGCGTACAAAAATAATATTGATTATTCTTCAAATATGTCAAATTCTTTTTTTTATCACAAGTTTTATTAGTTATTAATCACACTTAAAAGATGTGATCTAAATCTTATTAATCACACTTAAAAGATGTGATCTAAATATTATTAATCACACTTAAAAGATGTGATGAAATCATTTTTAATGACACTTAAAAAGTGTGATTAAAAATGACCCATTTTAATCACACTCCCAAAGACCACACTTTAATAAAACTTAAAATGTGTGATTAAAACACATACATCATACAAAAAAAATGTAATCTTTATCTGTATTTGTAGTAGTGACCAAAATTGGTTTTGTAGACACCCTATGTTTGACCGTCCTTAAGACTTGGACGTCACCGCTTGAACACTCGGTGATCATCCTTGTTTGTGTTCGTCTTGAGTTCCCGGAGGCCTCAGCTACGCGCATTGCCTCAGGATCTCTCGACTCGATCGTTTTGTGTCTGGTTTTGCACCAAACACTTGTGTTTTTGCTTTGGAGGGCATGGAATGGCTTTTGAGACATCCCCACACTCCACCGGCCATGGCTTGAGGCCACCGGCTGTGTTTTGTTGCCATCGGCCAAGTGTGATGGCCGGCCGGCCAGTTTGACTACCGGTCGGCCACTTTTTTGGCCGGCCGGCCAAGTGTAGTTTTCAACAGATTTTTATGCAGACAGCTGGCAGCTGTCATTCTAGGCCATACCTCAGCCCATACCTGGACGTGGGTGTTCTGAGGAGCTGCAGATTGATATATATCTATATCAATCAAGCTCTCCCTCATAATAAGAACAAGAGGAGAAAAGGAGAGAGGCAAAAACTTAGACAACATTTCTAAGAGCTTGAGCTTTAGGGTTAGGGTTGACATATATCCTCTATCTCTATATCTTTCTCTCTCTCTTGTGTTTAGTGTGTGTTTTGGTCTCATTTTTGTGCACAAACACCCATCATCACACCTTTTCTTAGTGGCTGAGGTACCAGAGGTCTTTCCTTGAAGCTTTTGGACTGATTTGAGCTCAAAGAAGCAACTGGTCCACCACTTTTGAAGAAGGTCTACAAGGGTAAGACTTTTGTCCCTTTTTACCCCATTCTTGCATACTCTTTTTGACTATCTTGCAACTGTTTTTAGACTTAGTGTATAACACATAAAAGTTCTGTTTTTGGGCCCTCTAAATAGTTGTTTAAGAGTGCTCTAAGCTTTGAGGTTGTTTGACCTCTCTTAAGGCTTGTTTGACCTTTGTTTTTGTGCTATTTTGGTGAACTCCGGGACCATTGTGTTTGGGCCTCCTCACCACTGAAATCTTGAGGGATTTCAGTGGTGAGGATGGTGCCTTGAGGTCCCAAGAAGGAGAGGGCCACCCCCTCTCCTTGTTGTCCTTGAAAATGGCCATTTTTAGCCTCTTGAGGGAGCATATAGTTTGAGTGTGTATTGGCCATGCCTTAACTGATTTTCATGCTTATTATGTCATAATATAGCATTGTTGTATGTTGGTTTTGGTACACCATGCTTGCTTGGCATACATGCCTTGTAATGCCTTGTTTTAGCCTTAACATGTCCTACGCTTTGAGCCCTTATTCAAGCATGTTTAGGCCTAGCTTTGTGAAGCTTTTATGTTTGTCTTGCCATGCTTAAGGTCTGTCCTTGGCTGTTTTGGTCGACCAAGACATGCATTGCATAGTCCCTTTGCATCTTGGATTGTTAGCCTCAAGTGTGTGAGTGTGTAGTGTGCGTTGCTTGCATCATTTTCAGTGGTTTGGAACCACTTACCATGCTATTTCAGTTCTCATAACATGCTTGCATGAATGCCTTTGATGCCTCTTTGATGCCTTAAAAGCTTGTGTTGTATGCTCCATGTTTAGCCTCTTTTGCATGCTTCCATGTTTAAGCCACTTAGATGCCATCTAGGTGTTCCCTTTGCATGGTCTAGGTCTACCTTGAACCTGTTTTAAGCCCTCTTGGCCTTGTGAGGCTTGGTTGGCTTAGCCATGGTTTAAGTCTCCTTGGCTAGCCTCAAGTACTTGGACCAATTGTACGCTATGTTTGTCTTGGTTAAGTTGGTTTGGCACCATCATTAGCATGGTTTTCAGAGCTTACATTGCATGCCCTTAGTCCATGTTTAGTCTCTTCCAAGCGTGCTTGAGAGTTGCCTTTTGATGTTTAAATGTTGGCCCATTAACATGTGCATGTGTGTGTGTGTGTTGGTCCTCATGTTTGAGCACTTCGGCCATTGATTTTGGCATGCTTGCGAGTCATCCTAAATTAGTTTAAGTCCATCCCCTTTGCTTGATTGTGTGCTCACCCTGTATGTTTGCTTGCATACTTGCATATTCGCATTGCATTGTCATGTTGTATGCTAGTTCACATGCTTAGGATTGCATTGCATGAGTATGCATGCTTGACCTCTTGAAGTGAGTATGATAGACGTTGAGTTCAATTTGTTTGATTATGTGCATTGCATTCCATATCAAGATGCACACTTGATTCTTTGGGCCATCATGCATGGAAATGCGCGATTGGTGGTCCGAGAATCGAAGACCATGTCCCTTTGAGTAAGACACATGATAAGGGGTGTGATTGGTGCATACATTACTTGAAATACATTGCCATGCTATGCCTTGTCCTCTGCTGCTGTCAACTGCAGGTTTCAGTAGGAATAATTGGCCGACCGGCAGTGTTTAGTGCCGACCGGCCATCCATTCATGGCCGATAGATTGAGAGGCAGCCGATACCCATTCTCCATGGCCGATGATCATTTCCCTCAGCCGGTGGTGTTCCCCAGCATTCAGAGTAGCAACCCTGAGACTTGTGTAGTCTTCAGAGGAGTAGAACAGCCAAAGCAGAGGCATCTTGTGCATGGCAATGGACTTCCGAGCAGGACCGAGCATGCATTGCATTGGACCCACTTCCCGACGCTGTTTATTGCTTAAATAGATTAGTTAAATTGCTTAGCTGATTTATTTGGTCTGTAATATTTAATTAGCTTGTGAGTTAATTAAATTGTATTATTCTTTTAGTCCCTCCGAGCGAGGGCGAATTTGTAATAAGTGTGGGTGCGTGTGTGCATGTCTTCCAACCCCCCCCCCCACTTCTTTCTCCCTTTTACTTACCTGCTTTTGATGGTTAGTACTAGGGCACGTTTAATTTAGCATACCTTATGCTATGCATGCGTGCATCATTCATCAGTATTGCATGCACCAGGCTCGGCGCATCATACTAACTGCATAAGTATTTCAAATCTAACTTGAATATATGCTGCTTGTGCATTTTCACATATCATTTATAGACTAGCCGAGCCTACTCTAGTGACATTCCGTATGCGTTGCATTAGGCATTTAAACATGGACTTGGATCATGCATGATTACTAACATGTTCTTGTTTTGACGGAATACTAGGTAAGCTTTTTATGCTTTAGCATCCTTGCATGTGTGTGAGTGTTGCCATGACAATATACTTACCATGAGGCTAGCTGCTTATGTGATATAACTGCTTGGGTGCCTGTGGGTGGAGGTCGAATTACCTAAATTGAAATAACGTATTAAAACTGTGAGTTTTAAGCCCACTAGATAGTGGCAAAACCATCTTTTCTAAAGCCCACTTGAGGGTGGCAAAACCTGCATTTCAGCTTACTTACGAGTAGCAAGCCATTTTCAAAACAAGCATGAAATGTTTTGTTCCAATTTAGGCGATTTGGTCTATACTTGTTTGCTGTGCGCATAACATAGTAATTCTAGGCTAATAACCGGAATAGAACACATAACGTTTTCAAAAACGGATATCACGGTTAGTAGAGGCCGATCTTCAGATCGGACGAGAGGGGGTGCTCATTGCTGACCTTCCCCAATCGTACCCAAGCTCCCGAGCCGAGGCAACTTTGGTGATGACGGACACGTGGCCTTTGGCACCGAGTCAGGGTTTCCTAAATTCCCCCATAAAAAATATTTAGGTGGCGACTCTGTATCTGGCAAAGCAGTCCATGTTTGGCACTTCTTTTCAAAAATCTATTTCTCAAAACGATTTGCCGGATTTGACTCTTTGGTTCAGATTAAGGACCGTATCAATTCGAGAGTCTGAACTGTAGCGAACCCACAAACGAACAGAACGGGACTCGTCCTCCCGGGGCGTTCGGGGACGTCTATAGTTTCTGGCGACTCTGTTGGGGACTTAGGGAGCTTGACTCGAATTCGTGATATCCTATTTTGATTTCATTTATGTGTCTCTTTGCATTGCATGTGCATTGGTGCACCTAGGACACCGTGTTTGCCATCTGCCATTCCTGAACGGTTTGCCGGAGGCTTGACTTTGTCAAAGCATGCCATAAGGCTGACTGGTTGTGGGCTCTGACAGTATGGGAACACAAACTCCGATTTTACCGGGGCACCCTTTTCGACCATTCAACCTAGTGCATATCGAAATCTATAGTGACTATTCCAAACTAGGACAGGTTGCTTACCCGATGTTAGGTTGTTTGAAAACTACTGCGTGCATGGTAAAACCCTAGCTCCTGACAAAATAGGACAGGGAAACCCTACCCCAACTTAGGGGTGTTTTGGCTCTCTTTTACTTGCTATGTGCTTTTAGAATGCATCTCTACAAGGAACGTACATATCAGTTTGCAAATTTGAGTATCAGACCTGAGGGTACCAGTATCAGTTTATGCGAATCAGTTATATCTGTGGGTATCCGATTCAGTATTTTGGGGGCAGTGATTTCGGGCAAAAATGATCAGTAGTAAAGTACAGTTATTCAGCTATACTAGCGTCTGTTCTGATTGGTCCGAAATGCTGCATGTTTTCTTT